CTTGATTCCTTCTGGTATGAACCGAAAACAAACTCTTCCGACGATATTGAAGCCACACAAAGAGCAATAGATTGGAACTTTGGCTGGTAAAGAATTTTATTTATACCTACTTAAGGGATTTCATTTCAACTTTCCTTTATATCTCAAAATAAGCTTTTTTATGTGCCTAAATTATGAAAACTTTGTCATATTTGGTAAGGTAAGCTAGACAGGATAGTGTAATGAAGAAAAAGAAGCTAAATATTTAGGTCTATTATACTGTTTGTCACTTTGTACCAAATATGTTCTTAATGGATGTAAGAATTTATACTGATAACAAATGTCTTGGTCCAATTCAGGTTTTTGGAACCTCTAATCCTCGGGGACTATCCAAACTCGATGAAAACAAGAGTAGGAAGCCGATTGCCTAGATTTACTCAGGCCGAATCCTCCAAGTTGAAGGGCTCCTTTGATTTCATTGGCATAAATCACTACACTACGTGGTATGCTAATGTGAACTATACCAACATAATCGGTGTTCTGCTGAACGACTCCCTTGCAGACTCTGGCACCTTTACTTTCCGTATGTACTTAACAATGTGCCTCTAAATGTTCTTCTTTCGTTTGGATAAATTTGCCCTCTGATTAATCAAAACTCATTAGAAACACTACTTTTCCACAATTTATTATGTGTTTTACACACGCTGGTTATTTAAGTTAGTTTAACTTGCTGAATTCTTATTGTTTGCAGCGTTCAAAAATGGGAAGCCTATAGCCGACAGGGTATGCACTCAAGAAAATCGAATATATCATGAAACTTTATTCAGATTCTTTACAAACAAATTATTTCCTACAAGAGGACTTTTTTGACACTAAAGCTTTTTATCATGGTGTAGTGATTTAAGATGTATTTATCTGGCTAAATTGATTATTTTAAGTTGCAGGCACATTCCATATGGTTGTACATTGTACCTCATGGGATCAGAAGCTTAATGAATTATATAAGGGAAAAGTATGGGAACCCTCTTGTCATAATCACTGAAAATGGTAATTCTCCACAAACAAGAAAGATTTTCTTCTGATAAGTGAAAATTTTGGACCAGAAAAGGGTGTAAGCTTGTAATCGGTTTTCTTTAGATTTTTACTTTTTTTGTGCAGTTATGTTCTTCACCTTCTTACCGTGCAAACTGAGTGTCATCAGAGCATTCATTTCTCTTTATTCCGATGATTTTTCATTTTTTCTCCAGGAATGGATGACGGAAATAGTCCATTTGTTTCCATTAAGGATGCTCTCAAGGACACAAAGAGGATCAAATACCATAATGATTATCTCGCGAACTTGTTGGCTGCTATTGTGTAAGTTTCAGCAATTTATTCTCAATAAACTCGTAGTCCACACTCCACAATATAAACCTCCTTTTAGCATTCTGTTCGGTTAATCACTTCAACCACTAGAATATCCAATACAACTAGATCATCTCCGACAACAACATTCTGCGTCAATTTTCTTGTACGTCATCTAACTTGTTCTACTAGGATCACTTGTGCATTTTTATATCTAAACAAGACACCCAAATCATCATTTCCTTAGTGTATCGTCAATCTGCGTGTCCTTCACGTGTTAGCATATTTATTCATAGACCACACTTCCATCTTTAACGTCCTC